TTTTTTTGATAAATAGGTTCGTGATCGTGAAACCGACATTCCGCTTGCCAGGGGCGTGAAGCTAGGCGAGCTACTCAAGCGTAAAGCTGAAGAAGGCGTGGCCGTGAGAATTCTCTTATGGGACGACGAGACATCGCTACCCTTCATAAAAAACAAAGGCATCATGAAAACGCACGACGAGTACAGCGTTTCCTACTTCAAGCACACTAAAGTCGTATGCCGTTTATGCCCACGGCAGCACGACAAGTTCCCGACGACCTTCACCCACCACCAAAAGACCATCACAACCGACTCCCGTATGGCGGGGCCAGCATCGAGTGCCCGCGAGATCGTGAGCTTCGTCGGCGGTCTCGACTTATGCGACGGGCGATACGACACGACAGATCACTCCCTGTTCCGAACACTCAACGACGAGTCTAACTGCTTGGACTTCTACCAGACGAGCCTCAAAGGGGCGAGCCTCGACAAGGGGGGGCCGCGCGAGCCGTGGCACGACACGCACGCGCGCGTGACGGGCCGGGCCGCGTGGGACGTGCTTTCGAATTTCGAGCAGAGGTGGACGAAGCAGTGCGATCCGTCGTTGCTAGTCCCGACCCATTCCATTCGGGAACTAATTACTTTAGACGATGAGCAGAGGAGGAATTGGAACGTGCAGGTTTTCCGTTCGATAGACCGCGCCTCGGCTACTACTACTCGATTTTCGGTCGAGAGAAGCATACACGAGGCGTATGTGGAGGCCATAAGGAGAGCTGAGAGGTTCATCTACGTCGAGAACCAGTATTTCGTTGGTGGATGCCACATGTGGGAACAAAACAAGAATTGTGGGTGTGGGAACTTGATTCCGGTTGAAATCGCGTTGAAAGTCGCTCGGAAAATACGTGCTGGGGAGCGTTTCGCGGCGTATATTGTGGTGCCAATGTGGCCCGAGGGCCTGCCCGAGAGCGAGTCGGTTCAGGACATACTGCATTGGGCTCGGGAGACGATGAAGATGATGTATTGGATTGTCGGGGAAGCGTTGAGAGAGTGCGGTGGGAAAGGGCGCCCGAGGGATTATTTGAATTTCTTTTGCCTCACGAATCGGGAAAATGAGGTTAAAGGGGAGTTTGCGCCGCGGTATAGTCCGCATCACGGGACAAATTATTGGAATGCTCAGAAGCATAGGAGATTCATGGTTTATGTGCACTCTAAGCTCATGATAGGTTATTTCTCATATTCAGAAAACAGGACAAATTTTGTATATACTTTTATGTGACTAATTTACTTGTTTTCGTTCGTGTTTTTTTTTTAGTCGACGATGCGTATCTTCTTATAGGATCAGCCAACGTGAACCAGAGATCAATGGACGGCAAACGAGACACGGAGATAGCCATAGGCTGCTACCAGACAAGAAATGAGGAAAAGAAGGAGACCGGAAACGGAGACGTTCGTGAGTTTCGCATGTCTCTATGGTACGAACACACTGGAGTAGCCGAAGAAATCTATAGAGAGCCTCAGAGTTTAGAGTGCGTGCGCAAGATTCGGTCCATAGGGGATAAAATGTGGAAAATCTACAGTGAAGATGAAGTGCAAGATATGGGAGGGGTGCATTTAGTGACTTACCCGGTGAGCATAACAGAGAGGGGTTGTGTCGAGGATTTAGTCAAGGGGGATGGCTGTTTTCCGGACACGAAAACGCCGGTTAAGGGGAAAAGATCAAAAGTGTTGTCTTCTGTATTCACCACATGATGAGAGAAAAAGTGACATTGTGAAGTTTGGATATTAGCTCTGCATGGAGAGATTAACAGATTTAACTAATATTTGAACAAATAAGATGAGGTAAAGAGTAATGACTCATGTGTTATTGATTCTTGATTGTTTCTTATGCATGATATCTTGCTCAAGAACCATATCATAAATCCATATATTATTTGTAATATTTCCTCACAAAGTGAACTATCAACAATAGAATTTTCTCCAATAACACGCTTTAAATTAATTTTTGTATGTTTTGTATATAGAATTAAGGATTATATTTTGTCTGCAATCATTTGTTAACAGTATAATACTTGTACAGTAAATTAAGATAATCAAAGATAAAATCAAATAATTCACAGAAGAATAAATAAAAATAAAAATAGAGAAAATGAAGGTTTGAAAGCTACATGCATTTTCAAAAAGATATTAACCCCGCTAGTCTGTTACAGCCATTTTCAAAAAGACTAACATTTATTCAAACTCCAAAAGGGCCACAGGGCCATACCTGTCTTCCAATAATTGAAGCCATTTTCCAACAAATATTTTTTTTTCTGAAAGCTGATCGGATTCTGGCCGGAGAAAAGAAAAAAAATAAATCAAAATGGCAGCAGCTTATGCAGCTCTTCGTTCTCTTGAGCAAACCATAAACCAGATACAGAGTCACCCTCGCCCTCCCATTTCTCTTGACAAAACAAAAACTAAATCACTCACTGACATTATCATCTTCTTGCTTCACTTTCTCGAAAATTATTCGTTTGTCGGTCGAGAAGCAGATGCTCTGGAGGCACGTATGGCCGATGCAGCTTATGCGGCAGAAGATTTGATCGAATCCAACATCGT